CTATGCCATTCTTATCTCTTCTTTTTACAATGCATCTCTGGTGTCAGACTAAACCTGGAGCTTTTTAAATTTTCTTTTCCTTTTTTTTTTCCCCCAGTTTGACAAATGGACTGACTCTCAAAGGAGAAGAATCCTGACAGGGCTGTTAGAACGCTGCTCCCTGTCACAGCAAAAGTTCTGCTGTCGAAAGCTTCAGGAAAAAATTCCAGCAGAAGCTCTGGATTTTACTACCAAGCTTCCAAGGGTGTTATCTTTATATATCTTTTCTTTCCTGGATCCCCGAAGCCTTTGTCGTTGTGCACAGGTAAAGACAAAGAAGCGGTGTATGGCATCTTGTAAAGACAAAACGCTGAAACTTGAGAAAGAAAAACAGCACGTACACAAAACCAAGAAGTAGATGAGATGCTCAGTATGATTAGTCTGTACAGTTTGAATTAACCCTCATCTCCTTTGTGTCTGACTCTGCATTTAGTGCTCAAGAGCGGGGAAAAAGTGTAAGACACTACTAAGTGTCCACAAAACAGTATTAACTAGCTGGGGAAACAAATACACATGTACGTAATGGTTCATCAGCAAAATAGTCTTATATTGCACAGCACAGAACTACAGTAAAATCCCAAACTGTAGAGTGCGGGCCATTCACAAATAGAAAAGCTTAAAATAAGGTGCTTATGCAATAATTACAAAAGAATATGAGACTAAAAGTCTTCAGAGTGGGCAGATGTGCTCACAGGGGTGAGGTTGGGAAAGGATCGGACCATTATTTTCTTACAAGCAATTCCATGGTGTATTAAAGTATATTATTTAAGATATAAAACTGATAGTCATTTTGTTGATTCTTTCCATAGTCTCGTAAGACCAGAAATTACCTATTACTTTGCATTCACATACATGTAACATGGTAACTTTAGTTTTTAAGATTAAGAAAATGAATGCAGTAGGATATATGAATTATTCAACGAATGGTGTTGAGACAATTGGGCAGCTATCTGGAAAAAAATTCTAGAAGGATAAAAGATTGATATGAAATTAAAGGAAACCATTAAAGTACTCAAAGGAGGGAATTCCCTGGTGGTCCAGTGATTAGGACTCTGCACTTTCACTGCCGGGGGCCCAAGTACACAGGGAGAAAAACATATGGCCAGCAAAGAGCTAATTTCCTTATTTTTTAAAGAACTACTATAAATCTACATTAAGAAAAAAAAAAAACCCAGCAGAAGAATGAGCAAAGGAAGTGAACAAGTAGTTTACAGAAAGAAAAGCAAATATTTCTAAAATATGTAAAATGTTTAGCCTCATTATCATACCATCTTTCATGACTCAGATGGATTGAGTCATTTTTTTAAATGATACTATTTTATATTGGTGGAGGTGTGGGGAAACAAGCACTTTCATATATTGTTGGTAGAAAAATTGATGCAACCATGATGGAGAACAATTTGTAGTATTCAATTTTTAAATAAAGATTCCCTTTGCCCCAGCAGTTCCACTTCTTGGAATTTGTCTGATGGGCATATTTTAACACATGCAAAAATTATGTCTGTGTAAGAATGTTGCAGCATAGTTTGTAGTAGCAAAATGTTGGAAACAATGGAAGTGTCTGCTAATAGGGGACCGGTTGCAACCATCTCCACAATATATCATCAGTGAAAAAAGCAAAAGTGCAGAGTTGTCCTACCATTTTGGAAAGAAAAAAAAAAGAGTATATCCATATCTGTTAATATTCTGGAATGACACACAAGAAGCTGGTAACAATGGTTACATCCAGGGAGGGAAATGAGTGGCTAGATGATAGGGATGAGAGAGACTTCTTTTTACCGTGTGCCCCTTGGTATCTTTGAATTTAGCATTAATGTACACATATTACTTATTCCAAAAATGAAACAATTTTTTTAACGTCTTTATTGGGGTATAATTGCTTTACAATGGTGTGTTAGTTTCTGCTTTATAACAAAGTGAATCAGTTATACATATACATATATTCCCATATCTCTTCCCTCTTGCGTCTCCCTCCCTCCCACCCTCCCTATCCCACCCCTCCAGGTGGTCACAAAGCATAGCGGGGGCTTCTCTGGTGGCGCAGTGGTTGAGAGTCCGCCTGCCCATGCAGGGGACACGGGTTCGTGCCCCGGTCCGGGAAGATCCCGCATGCCGCGGAGCGGCTGGGCCCGTGAGCCATGGCCGCTGAGCCTGCGCGTACAGAGACTGTGCTCTGCAACGGGAGAGGCCACAACAGTGAGAGGCCCGTGTATCGAAAAAAAAAAAAAAAAAAAAAAGCATAGCGGGACTTCCCTGGTGGTGCAGTGGTTAAGACTCCGTGCTCCCAATGCAGGGGGCCCAGGTTCGATCCCGGTCAGGCAACTAACTAGATCCCACATGCATGCCACAACTAAGGAGCCCACCTGCCGCAACTAAGACCCGGCACAACCAAATAAGAAAATAAATAAATAAATATTTAAAAAGAAAAAAAAAAGCATAGCATTAAAAAAAAAACCATTTATTTATTTATTTACTTATTTATTTTTGGCTGTGTTGGGTCTTCGTTTCCGTGCCCGGGCTTTCTCTAGTTGCAGTGAGCGGGTGCTACTCTTCGTTGCGGTGCATGGGCTTCTCATTGCAGTGGCTTCTCTTTGTTGCAGAGCACTGGCTCTAGGCATGTGGACTTCAGTAGTTGTGGCTCGCAGGCTCTAGAGCGCAGGCTCAGTAGTTGTGGCACACAGGCTTTGTTGCTCCGCAGCATGTGGGATCTTCCCGGACCAGGGCTCGAACCCGTGTCCCTTGCATTAGCAGGCAGATTCTTAACAACTGCGCCACCAGGGAAGTCCGCAACATAGCATTTTAAATGCCCAATAATAAGAGAGTATCATACAGTCATATGATGAATTACTATGCAGCTATTAGAAAACATGTTTTGGAAGAACAGAGATGCTTATTATGTGTAAAATGAAGAAAGCATGATTTTAAATTGTATACAGAGTTTCCCAGTTTTGTTTTGTATGTGCCTAGGAAACAGATGGCAAGGAAAAGAACTCTACCAAGTTGTTAATAATGGTCATCTCTGATCGATGGCGTTATGGGTATTGTTTTTCTTCAAGCTTCTCAGAATTTTCCAAGTGTTTCACAATGAGAATGTTATCATTCCAGGGAGATGTTATTTTAAATTAACTAATCCTCTCATCTATGTGCACCATATGTCAGTCTTGCAAGATTTCAGCATCGTATTTTATTCCCAGAATTGACTGTGAAGCAGTTGTTCTTCAGCTAGATTTAAAGTAAACAGTAAAGTCATTGCACCAAAATGAGCTATGAGCTGTTTAAAAATATGGTGGGGGATGCTTTATAGTTTTTTGTTTTGTTTTGTTAACTTTGTTTTTTTTTTTTTTTGGCTGCATTGGGTCTTCATTGCTGCGCGCGGGCTTTCTCTAGTTGCAGTGAGCGGGGTCTACTCTTCATTGCTGTGCGCGGGCTTCCCATTGCGGTGGCTTCTCTTGTTGCAGAGCACAGGCTCTAGGCGCGCAGACTTCAGTAGTTGTGGCACGTGGGCTCAGTAGTTGTGGCGCACGGGCTTCGTTGCTCCTGGCATGTGGGATCTTCCCGGACCAGGGATCAAGCCTGTGTCCCCTGCATTGGCAGGCGGATTCTTAACCACTGTGCCACCAGGGAAGTCCCTGTCTTATAGTTTTGAAAGTTCTTACCTACCCTTCTCCTCATTCCTGTTTAGTTTAAAAAACAAAAAACAACGAAAAGAAAACTTTATTTACCCCGGTGGGGGGACCCCCAACTTAAATACCCAGGTCTAAACCAGATCTAAGGTTCCTCTTTTCAGAGGAAAAGAGTGAGAATTGAGCAACTTTTCTCCCCATCCCCTCCTTCCCAAACCTCACCTCTCGATTGAATTGAGTTAACTAACCATACGGAGATTAAGGTCTGTGTAGTTTCATGTCTGGTTGAACAAAGTAGATGTGATTTCTGTTTCTGCCCGCAGGGCTCTATCAGATCCTCTAAGCTTTTTCCTCCTTCCAGCTCCTGAACCTGTCATTACTTCTAATTGTGCCCTCTCCGGCATGCCTCTCTCCTGCACGTCTCATCTTCAGCGCGTAAAACAATCCTAGACATGGTAGGACGGAAGGAGGGAGGAAGAGAGGGATAGATAAATGGATGGATGGGTAGCAAGTTCCATTATAGAGTGTTCTGCTTATTTGGGGGGCACTCAAACATTATTCTTTATTTAGTTAATCTTGAAAAATAGGCCAGTTTTCCAAGGATGAAATTTGAGTTTGAAGGTTAGCTGTCATCTTTGCAACTCTTGATAAGAGACATAGAATGCCTAGTCTCAACTTTATATATGGACTCGACTCTAGTTTCTAACAAGACTTACTCAAAACCTGGAGTAAATTATTATAAGTACTACTACACATATTAGGGTCACCTCCACTATTTGCTGGATGTGTAGGATTGACACTAAAGCTATGGAAATGGAATGTATAGAACAAATACTTAATGCTCTATTGAAACTTAAAGGCTATTTAGGACACTCCAATATAGTATTAGCAATGGTGTTCCCTTCATAAAATTTATATTTAGTTAAATCATAAGAATGGAGGGAAAAAAGGAAGCATATCATGAAAAGAATAAGCAATGTGCCAACCGGAGTTTCTGTAACTTTCATATAACTTTCATATGGAGACCTTCAGGAACCTTTAGGAAGTTCCAAAGTCTATCTGAGCCTCAGTTTCCTCATTTGCATTATGAGAATAATAATTATACTTCCCTCCTTAGGTTGCTATGAGAATGGTTAATAGGTGCTCAATAAACATTAGTTGACTCTGATTCTAAGTCTGAATTAACATTAAAAAAATCCTTCTGCCTGGCTAGGCAGCACTTCAGGCAGTAGGTAACTAAGCTGTGATTTGGTGGAAAGGGACAGCTCAAAACCTAGAGAAAGTGAGCATGTAAACTGAATAGTTTTTGTTTTTTTAAAATTTTTGTTGTTTTTCCAGGTGAGCTGGCATTGGAAGAACTTAACGGAACTGGATCAGCTCTGGATGCTCAAATGTTTACGGTTTAACTGGTACATCAATTTCTCTCCAACTCCCTTTGAGCAGGGTATATGGAAGAAACACTATATTCAAATGGTGAAAGAACTCCATGTTACCAAGCCCAAGGTAAATTTGGGGAAAGAAGCAACAAAATTACAAACATCCACTATGTAGGAATTCTAGAACTAAGACTAAATGATCAATCTTGAAGTTGGGGAAGGCAGTTGACTCAAAGGAAATATACTATTGATGTGACTTTAAAATTCTCCTTTTCTGAGAACTTGATGGCGCTTTTCAAGGTATCCATGTGAGTTGAGAACTGTCACCTGACACTGCCAAACCACAGTTCCACCCAGGTTAGGACTGGGAGCTCCTCACTCTTCAGATTCCTGGATTTCTGTGTCTCTGGCGCCTATACCACAGAGTTCTGACACTGGTATTCTGGGGGAGCGTGCTGTCCTTATTACCTATGGGTCATCACACTTTACGTAACTGATTCAAATTGTCTATGATTCTACCAGACAAGCTGAAGTTAATTTTTGTATCATTTATAAAGAAGAGTTTTGCAATAAATTAGTAATTAGGGAAGGGCATATGGGCATGTTAAAGTTCTTTTTACCCTAGAAACTAGCAATGTAAAGCATGTACATATAATCATAAAAAGTAAATAATCTGAGCATAATATTTTCTAGTGGTTTTGCATGCTTTATAACCAATGTTTATGTTCATTCTTGTAGTCACAGTTAATTAGGTAACTTATGGGAAATTTTTATGAGCTTTTTCTTTATGGCATGATCTAATATATACTTACGGAGTTATGCATTGTTTTGTACAGTACATGAGTTCCTGAAAAATTATGTGTAAATTAAAATTTTTTAATCATTTTTTAAACCACAGGGGTTTTCTGTAAAAAAGCTGCAGTGAATCCTTTTCAAATTGAAGAATTCATTTGAAATATGAAGAGTCAGCTCCTGAGCTGACTGTTTAGCGTGCTCACTTAGGTTTCGTTCTATTGTTTGCTCGAAGAAGAATCCATCTACATTTAGTAGAGTAATAAACTATGCATAATTAATATTGTTATAATTGCAATGATAAAACTAGTCTTTCTGAGTTCAATAATTGGTGTTCTCCATGAGGATTTCTTTAAAAAAGAAATTTTTTTTGTTTGTTTTTTTTTGCAGTACGCGGGCCTCTCACTGTTGTGGCCTCTCCCGTTGCGGAGCACAGGCTCCGGCCGCGCAGGCCCAGCGGCCATGGCCCACGGGCCCAGCCGCTCTGCGGCATGCGGGATCCTCCCGGACGAGGGCATGAACCCGCGTCCCCTGCATCAGCAGGCGGACTCCCAACCACTGTGCCACCAGGGAAGCCAAAAAAAGAAATTTTTAAACTGAACTGGTAGACAAGTTATTTTAAAAATTACAATAGCTATGACTTTTTTTTATCAAAACACTTTTCTTTGTTTTTTTTTAAAAAAATTTTATTTATTTTTAATTTTGCCTGCGTTGTGTCTTCGTTGCTACACGTAGGCTTTCTCTAGTTGCTGCAAGCGGGAGCTACTCTTCGTTGCCGTGCCGTTGTGGAGCACGGGTTCTAGGCATGCAGGCTCAGTAGTTGTGGCACACAGACTTAGTTGCTCTGCGGCATGTGGGATCTTCCTGGACCAGGGCTCAAACCCGTGTCCCCTGCATTGGCAGGCGGATTCTTAACCATTGCGCCACCAGGGAAGTCCCCATGAGGCTCTTCTTGACTCTCGTTCTCAGTTGTAGGCAGGAAATGGCATTCAATGGCTGAAGCATGGGCTGGTCTGAGGCAGAGGAGAGAAAAGTGATTAACCAACTTGTAGAATGAAAAAAGGTTTTGAGTATTATATATAACACTGACTTTAATGCTTCGTCTTCAGCAATAACTCTTTCTCCACAAAATATTTATGCATAACTATATTTTAAAATAATGAATAGTTCTGATGCAAGAAAATTGCCACATCTTTGCTTAGTATTAAATTTCTGTAGGTAGTACTTTTTAATATACCAATTTTAATACCAATTCTACATAAACTCTTTCAGAAAATAGAGGAAGAGGGAACACTGCCCAACTCATAACCTTTATATCAAAACTAGATAAAGACTTTAAAAGAAAACAAAACAAAACCACAGACCGATACCCCTCATGAACACAGACATAAAAATCCTTTAAAAATATTGGCAAATTAAATCCAGTAATATATAAAAAAAGAATAATAAATGATGACCAAGTGGGATGTATCCAAGGAGAATAAAGTTGGCATAATATTCAAAAATCAATCCATGTAATTCACATAATAAAAGAGAAAAGATGTATGGTCATTTCAATATATGCAAACAAAAGCATTCAAAATTTTTTCAACATTCACGATTTTAAAAATTCTCAAAAAGACTTTGGGTAAAGGGAATAAGATTTTTGTTTACTTAACAGAGAAGTCATCAGTTTTTCTTTATTACCTATTCTGTTAATGGGTCAAATATTGTGTACTTTTCAGAATTAATGACGCTTATTTATATATAGTTAGTAGCATGCACGCCTAAATTTTCTTCCCTGAAATTGCTTTTTATTATTCTGTATTATTTATTCCCAATGGTGTTAAACAAGACCTCTTCCAGCAAAAACAGACAGATTTCATTCAATATGAACTCAGAGAAATGAAATGAACGTCCATTTTATTTACTTTTTTTATTTCATTTTTTTGTCTGCGCTGTGTGGCTTGGGATTTTAGTTGCCTGACCAGGAATCGAACCCGAGCCCTAGGCAGTGAAAGCACAGAGTCCTAACCACTGGACCACCAGGGAATTCCCTGAATGTCCATTTAAAATGAGATCTGCACAAAATATTGAATACTAAACCAGTAATGAGCCATCAGTTATATAAATATAAAATGTCTTCTTACTCTATTAATTGCAATCACTCACTAAATGAGTAAATATTTATTAAATACTGTTATGTGCTAGGTGCTAAGAGTACAATGGTCTTAACCCCGCTTTCTGGAAGCCTAGTCTAGTGACCCAGGACACAAACAAGCAAATAATTACAACATTGAATACTAAGTGCTATCTGGTAGTAGAAATATATACAAAGAACAGTTGAAACAAGGATAAGAAATTAACTGACTCTGCTTGGAGGGACTGGGGAATTTTTAAATTTTCACAAACAAGTCAAGCAAACCAATTTACTGAGCAAAGCTTCCCTAATCTCTTGAAGAACAAAAATTAAACCTTTAATGGCTTCTCAGCATACCACTACCACTTCCCTTAGGCTACAACCACATAAAAACCTTATGAATTTTATACACCAAAAATAGATTTTCATTTTGGGCAATTAAAGCAGAAGTATTCAGGGCTTCCCTGGTGGCGCAGTGGTTGAGAGTCCGCCTGCCGATGCAGGGGACGCAGGTTTGTGCCCCGGTCCGGGAAGATCCCACATGCCACGGAGCGACAGGAGAGGCCACAACAGTGAGGGCCCGTATACAGCAAAAAAAAAAAAAAAAAAAAGGAGAAGTATTCTTTGCAAATGGCTGAAGTTTTGATAACTGATAAAATCTATGAAGTCTACCCCTACATAATCGAAATTGTCTCTGTTTTAGGTATACTTAGGGCTGGGGTACTTTTTTTAGAATGTGTATATTTTTATGAATAAATTAACTGCAGTTGTGGAAAACTGTACAATGATATTGTAGGAGAGGGGACAGTTCAGGATAGAGAGGTTCAGTGTGTGGACTTGAAGCAGGATAGTCCTGGATTCAAATTCTGACCCTGGGTCAATACTTATGTAGTAGTAGTGAGCAAATTAATTAGTTTATCCTATTTCAGTTTCCTCTTCTGTAAAATGGGAGTCGTTACAATTACCTTTTAGAGTTATTGTGAAGGTTAAATAAAGTAACGCATGAACACTTCTGAGACAGTGCCTGGCACATAGCAAGTAGTCCTGGGTTGGTGGCTGCTATAATCGTCATCACCGTTATCATTGCCATCACGGTGATGATGATGTTCTTTGTTTTACTTCTGTTATTATTATAGTATTTGGGGAACAGAAATAATTAATTTTCTTCTTCTAGACACCTCCAAAAGATGGGTTTGTGATCGCTGATGTTCAACCAGTTACAAGCAGTTCTCCAGAGGAAAAGCCATCCCCTTCATCAGCTTTCCGGTCCTCTTCCTCTTTGAGAAAGAAGAACCACCCAGGGGAGAAAGAACTCCCACCCTGGCGATCCTCTGACAAACATCCAACTGATATCATTCGCTTCAATTACCTGGACAACTGTGACCCCATTGAGCAAAGCTGGCAAGGGTGAGAGTCATGCCCTTCTCCACTTCTTTTGCTTTTAGAAACAATCTACTGGCACTTCAGTCTATGAAAAGATGAAAACAGAACTTACTGTGAAATACAAATGCTTTTCACTACGTAGAAGCAAAAAGTAATTGAAAAGTAAATGAACCATTATTGGTAAATTTGTCCGGTTCTTTAGGATTTGTTTGCATTTTGTAGCTGTAATGCTTTCCTTACAGCTTCTTTTAATATTTTAATACCTCAAATTCCAATCCAGTACCATAAGGTTCATTCTAGTCTTTTCCTTTTCCTTTTCCACAGTTGTATCTCCCTTCTGTGACAGAGGAAGGGATATACAAATATGTAATCTCCATATACATATCTCCATATATATACATATATAATTTTGATTATATATTATATGTACATATATAATTTTATATAAAATGTATTATATATAGTACATACACAGAGTATATATTTACTTAACAAATTCTGAAAGTAATTTCAGAATTGCTAACTCATATCATTATCGAAACAAATCTACTAACTAGAATTCAATATTTGTTTCTGGTTCTTTTGCCTTTAGCCTGGGTATATACTCATACTACTGTGTTCAAAAGTCATGTGGGTTCTTTTCTTTAAATATCCCTTTCCCCATGTGAGTATGTTATGTGATTCTAGAGTTAAAACTATGTAAAACTATACAAAAAGCGTACAGAAGGTGGACTCAGAGAATCACCCCCTCCATCTCCTCCACTCTACCTCACACTCATCTTTTCCACTCCATTCCCACTTACCAATCTCATGCGTTTCTGGTTTATCCTCCCAGTGTTGCTTTTTGCACAACGTTGCAAACTATGCCATTTTTCAACTCTCTGATCGGCAAAAACTTTAAAGTTTGACAATATATTCTGTTGGTGAGGCTGTGGGCCAGCAGGCACCCTCATACACTGTTGGTGGGAATATACATCGGCGCAAACCTTGTGGAGAAAAATTGTACAGCATCCAGCAAAAAATATCTGTATTTATTTTGACCCAGCAATCCCACTTCTAGGAATCAACCTTGAAAATACCAAAAGTACATCAGCACAAGGATAGTTATTGCAGTATTGTTTATGACTTTGAAATATTGGAAATAACTTAAGTGCCCATATATAGGAGAGTGTTTGTTGAATAAACTATGTATGGTCCATTCACACAATGGAGTATTAGGCAACTGTAAAAATGAATGAGGAAGATCTCTATGAACGGGTAAGGAGTGATTTCCAGGGTACATAGTTAAGTGAGAAAAGCAAATTGCAAAAGAGTGTCTCTAGTATCCTACCCATAATGTAGAAAGAAAAGAGAGTAAGTAAATATACATCTGTATGTACATATGTATCTGTTCATTTGTTAACACACACACACATGCACGCACACAGGGTAAACAAGAAATTAAGGAAACAAAAGTTAAAAATGTTTTAATACATTTTTCATAGTTTTAGGTTCTATTTCAACAGATTAACATCAAGGCAGCATAAGATAGTGACAATGTACAGGCTCAGGGGCCATACTGCATGGGTTCAAATCCAGACTCCCACACTTCTAGCTGTGTGACCCTGGGGAGTCCCTTAACCTCTCTGTGCCTGTTTCCGCCTCTGTAAAATGGCAATAGTAGTAATACCCAAGTCACAGGATCACTGTGAGGATTAATATATGTAGCATGCTTATAATTGTGCCTGACTCATAGTAAGTAAGCATTTTTTTTTTTAGTAGGATGGCTTCTAAAAGGATATTATTTGGCTAAAAAAGGAAAGGGTAATCCCAGAAGGCTTGATGACTTAGGGACATTCAAATTACATTGGGATCCTTTGGAGGTGAGATGAGAGTGGTATCCCTAATTAAGCAAGAATTGAGCTCTTTGAGAGCACAGACTATGCCTTACTCATCTTTGTTACCACTGACTATCATTGCAATACTCATTAAATGGTGGATTTCAAAGGAAGTGTAGCCTTTTGATTCATGAAATTCACATTCATCTAGTTGTATCAGAAAAAGTCTAAATAGTTTGCTGATAATTTAGAAAGTTCGAGGGGGATGGCGGGGAGACAAGGTATAAAACAGAGTTTGAAAGAAATACTACTGTTTACATTTAAATGGGTGGAGGAGAAAGATACATATATACACATTCATATTTTTATATACATACAATATCTCTGGAATAAACACAAGAAACTGATACTACCATTTGCCTTCAAGGAGAACAGTAAGTTGGAGACAAGGATGGATAGGAAAGTTTCACTGTATATCCTTTTGAACTCTTGAATTTGGAACCACTGTGAATGTATTAACTGTGTATTGGTCGGTGTATCCCTGAGGATAGTGTCTAAGTTTGTATGTGGCCCTTAGTCTGGACTAGGTTGGTAAATTAGAGAGAGGCAAATTTAGTTACCTAGGCATATGAATGGTACATTAACCTGAGAAAAACCAATAGTCTCCTGAGTTTTCTGTGAGACTCAAATACTATTTGTGAAAGGCAATAATTACATTAAATGTACTTAACACTCCAATTAAAAGGCAGAGATTATCAGAATGGGTAAAAAAGGCAAGAACCAACTATATGCTTTTTTACAAGAGCTACACCTTAAATACTAAGGCACAGTTAGGCTTAAAAATAAAGTGGTAGAAAAAGATGTACCATACAAAGAGGAAGCATAAGAAGGCTAGAATGACCGTTAATATCAGTTAAAATAGACATAAAGACAGAGTATTCCCAAACAAAAAGAGGGACATTTCATAATGATACAGGGATCTATAAACTAAACAGAAAGACATAACTGTTGCAATGCATATGTACGTAATTACAAAGCCTAAAAGTACAGAAAGCAAAATCTGAAAGATTTTAAAAGATAAACATACAATTCCACAAACATTTTTTTTCAAGTGCATGTGCTACATTCACCAAAATAGACCAGGTGCTTGAACTCTTCCAAGAGTCAGTGCCATAGGGGGAAAAAAGAGGCGGGGGAAAATGTTCTAGACATAAGAGACATAACAAACCAATGCAGTTGGAATCTAGGCGGGATCTGGTTCAAAAAAGAAAGACTATAATGGGCATTCGGGATAATTGCATAAAGTTAATATGGACCATATATTAAAATGACATTAAAGAATTACTGCTCATTTTCTAAGGTATGATGGCACTAGTGTGGTTAGGTAGGCAAATGTCTTTACCTTAGGAGATGAGTGAAGTATTTGGGGATGAAGTGTCTGCAATTTACATTTTTATGGCCCAGGGGAGGGGAAAATATATATACACATACACAGAGATGAAGCAAAAATAGCAAAATGTTATCAGTTGTTGAATCTAGTTGGAGAGTATATGGGTAATCACTTTACTGTTCTTTCAACTATTCTGTATGTTTGAAATTTCTTAATTAAAAGCTGGTGGAGGGCTTCCCTGGTGGCGCAGTGGTTGAGAGTCCGCCTGCCGATGCAGGGGACACGGGTTCGTGCCCCGGTCCGTGATGATCCCACATGCCATGGAGCGGCTGGACCCGTGAGCCATGGCCGCTGAGCCTGCGCGTCTGGAGCCTGTGCTCCGCAACGGGAGAAGCCACAACAGTGAGAGGCCCGCGTACGGAAAAAAAAAAAAAAAAAAGCTGGTGGAAAATTTTGAAAATTAAGTATCAGGAAATATTTGGGCAAAGCTGGTCTTGTTTTGTTTTGTTTTGTTTTTTGGCCGCGCAGCTTGAGGGCTCTTAGTTCTCCGACCAGGGATTGAACCCGGGCCCCCTGCAATGGAGGTATGGAGTCTTAACCACTGGACTGCCAGGGAAGTCCCAATAAAACTTTTTATAATGAAAATGCAAATATATGCAAACGTAAAGAGAATAGAACCTCTTATAACCACCATCCAGCATTAACAGTTTTCAACACATGACCTGTCTGGTTTCATTCATTCCTCACCCACTCTGCTGTTCCCCCTGGTTACTTTGGAGACAAATCCAAATGTCATATTATTTCATTCATACATATTTCAAGGCCTCTCCTTAAAAGATAGACTCTGTCTAAAAATCATAAGATGATACCATATCACTTCTAAGTCAATGAATGATGCCTTAATATAATCAATCAAGAATCAAGTCGGTTTTCAGGTTTCCTTGAATGTCTCATAAGGGTTTGATATTTTTAAACAGTTGATTTGTTTAATCAGGTCCCAAATAAGGTCTACATATTACATTTGGTCCATGTGTCACTTAAGTTTTTTGGGTTTTTTTGATCCATAGGTTTCTTCTCTGCCCTCCTTTTTTTCCCCTTGCAATTTGTTTGTTATAGAAATCAGGTCATTTATCCTACAGACCTTCTCATCTTCTGGTTTTTGGGGACTGTACTCCCAGCATGTTCCTCTGTCTCCTGTACAAGTACCAGTCTTCAGATCTGGAGGCCTGAGTATATAATGCTCAGGTACTTCCATCATGAGGCACAAGGTTTCTGTTTGTCTCTCTTTTTGTGATGTTAGTGGCCATTGATGATCATTGCCTTGGTCCATTATTTTAGGCAAACTTTTTCCGGGAAGGGCTGAACAGCAAATACATTAGGCTTTGCAGGGTATATCTCTGTCATAACTGCTCAACTCCAACACTGCAGCCTGAAAATCGCCATTGACCATATGAAAGAAGTAAGCATGACTGTGTTTCAGTAAAACTTTATTTACAGAAACAAGCATGAGTCTGCATTGGCCTCTGGGCTGTAGTTTGTGGATCCCTATTTTGTCCTATTACATACAATAGTTTTAGAAAACAAATATTAGTATTAATACAAACAACAGGATTACTGAAAACAGTTTAAAATTTCTTTGCCTGTGTTTTTGTCCTTAGGATATATTCTACTAAGACTATTCAGACAAATTACTATGTTAAAGTCCCACGAAGTAATTCCTTTATGTGGGGTAATGCCACCAACTGGAGAGATAAGATCATTTATTTCATTTTGTTTTTAGATTTTTGGGAATTTCCTTCCTTCATTTTATTTTATAATTTTGATATGGTTCCAGAGTCAGATACACAAAACAAAGTGTATTTGGAGAAGTCTAGCTTCTGTTCCGACCCCTCCATACTGTTCCCTGTTCCTGACTGGACCACAAAGGAATCCTGCTGATAGGTAACTAGTTTTCAAAATGTCGTGGTGCAGTCCTTCCATTAAAAAATATATAAACAAATACACACACACACGCACACACACACACACCCCTTTCTGAAAGAAATGGTGTCACACAATACATAACACTTTATCCCCCTTTCTTTTTTCATGTAACAATATATCCTGGAGATCACTCCACAGTTATATAAAGAAATATTCTGCCTTCCTTTTTACAATTCACAGTCCTCCATTGTGTGGATGTGTCAGAGTTTATTGTACCCATTCTCTATTGATAGATATTTGGCTTGTTTCCAGTTGAGTGAAGACAATCTTTTAAACCACAGGTACAACAAAATCAAATGGACAAACAGCTATGCCAACCACCAAAGCTTTAAAATGATATTTATAATTTTTCCAATGCTTTCCAATTTACAGAAGAAGGAAAAGACACGAAATGACTCCAGATTTCAACCGACAGTCACGTGATAAGAAAAATAAATCACAGGACAGATCTAAACTAGGAAAAGCACAGTCACTGGTAAGTATTTCTTACAAAAGATTCCCCAACATAATGTTAATGATAATTGCTGGATCTCTAATCCTATTCGCAAGATTGAATTTGGTGTTTCTGTTTGTTTTAATTTAAAAAAAAAAATTTATTTATTTAATTTATTTATTTGGCTGTGTCAGGTGTAGGTTGCAGCATGCAGGGTCTTTGTCGCGGCCTGCAGGATCTTTCGTTGCAGCGTGTGGGCTCAGAAGTTGCTGAGCGCAGGCTTAGTTTCCCTGGGGCATGTGGGATCTTAGCTCCCCAACCAGGGATCGAACCCGCGTCCCAGACATTGGAAGGCGGATTCTTAACCACTGGACCACCAGGGAAGTCCCTGAATTTTTTTTTTTTAATCAGAATCATCAAGTGGTGGTTTAAATCCTAGTCTCTGACACTGACTGACTAGCTGTGTGACCTTGAAGATGCCCTTTATTTTATCTCTCTGAGCCTCTGTTTTCCCACCTGTTTAAAAAAAAAAAGAGAGAGAAAAGCTTGGATGAACTGATGTGTATGAATCTGCTTTGAAAACTGTACAGTATAAAGGGAGCATTATTATCATTGGTTCTTTCTTCTTCTGTGAGTCCTTTGGGGTGGGGGGAGGAGAGCCTATAGAAATTTCTCTATAGAAATTACTTATCTGTAGAGTGAAGGTTCCACTAATCTAAGAAAAAGGCATGATTTTCATAGCTTTCCTGCCACCAGTGGAACATGATTATAAAAGTGCATTTCAAATAACTTCAGAAAAAATGAATTAAGAATTTTCTTTTCTTTCCCTAATTAAAAAATAGCTAATTGACTACCTAATAAAAGTCAGTGATTATGACTAGGGAGCATTATTATTTCATAGCAGACTTTCCCAAATTGTGGTTCTGTACCCCCAATAGATCCCTTTCAGCACATATGAGAATCTTTGGAGCAAAGTTGAAGGGAATAAGGGTGGAATAAACAGTTTCTATTAGTAGTAAACATTTAGAAAAAGGCTGCGGATACACACTCAAGGAAAATTAATATAAAATGGGTGTCAGTTGGGAGAGGAATAAGTGTGTACTCATGAATAAGTCACTTTTATAGTTCTCCTTTAAAGCTCAATTACTTTCTGTTTAAATGCATTTTCAAGTGTTATGTTCCAAAAAGAGAGATGAGCTTTTTAAGATAGGGTAGTCTGTATTCTGAGGAGCCAGTTTTGTTGGACTGGATGAGGCTTATCACAGACATATGTACAGATGCCCAAGGGAATGGGGAAGCTTAAAATAGAGCAGTAAAATTGTCAGTGAAAACCATTAATTGAGAAAAATAACTTTATGAGGCTTATCACCCAAGCCATTCAGGCATGCTTCTGCCTAGTTCCCTGGCCCCTCCTAGGCCAGAAGTAGAAGACATATCTGGGGGAGAACCGGGAATTTGAAGGAAGATAAAAGTTGGTGATGTATGCTTACAAATTATCAGCACAATCGAAGCTTTCTCTGGCTTAATAAAAACAAAACAAAAATCGAAGGCTAAACAGAAACCTTCCCTCTGGGTTTTTGATGTTTACCATCTGGCACACACTAGCAGGCCTTGCTTAAGTGAAAATAGTCATTATAAATTAACAACTTCAAAAGTTGTGCTAATTAAAGCTGAAAGGGAAGCCAGGGCAAATTAAACAGTGATGGAGAACCATTAAGCTATTAATAAGTGAAGTGTACAATTGTATCGATCTACTTGTATTGTTTCTGTAAATATGCTAATTAGAATCACTATTTCTGGGGACTTCCCTGCTGGTCCAGTAGTTAAGGCTCCGCACTTCCTCTGCAGGGGGCGCGGGTTCGATCTGTGGTCGGGGAACTAAGATCCCACATGCCTCATGGCGAGGCCAAAAAAAAAAAGAAAAAAAAGGTTAAAAAAAAAAAAGAGAATCCCTGTTTCTGCTTAGTTCTGAGGAGCACAAGGCATAATTAAACCCTCCAAAAGTGAGCTAGGATTTTTGACTCTGTAATGGTGTCCGTGATAAGCCTGCTGTTTGGACCACAGGCTGCAGGCGGCTAAGGCCCCCTCCCCGCAGGTGCCAGTTTGCCCCACTGCCCACCACATCCCTCAGAGGAAAAGAGCAACCTCCTAGATGAGGCAAGGTGATTGTGAAAATGAAGAAGTAGTGGCAGTGGGGCCTGAGAGGAGAGGAAATGGGTATTGAGGAAATTCAATTAGGGGACATAAGAAAAGTAGGGAGTAAATAAAACTCCAACAAGTGCAGCTGTAGAGAGAGTGTGGTAGACACAGCCTGGGTGTGATTGCAGTGGAGAAAATCCCGTATTCATTAGATAGAAAATCCTTGCATCATTTAGACAGGTTTATCTAGGAAGATTCAGGAGGAACTCGAGAAACAGGTGACTAGGCAAACTTAGGGGAACACGTTATAAAGCCAGGATGAGAAGGACAGATCACCAAAGCCCAGGAAGGGCCTGAGGCCTGAACACTGGAGTATTCCTTGCCCCTCTAAGTGGCAAAGGGGTATTTGATACTTGGAGAAGTTAAAGCTTTGTGAAATGGAAGGGTTGGGGACTTCCCTGGTGGCGCAGTTGTTAAAAATCCACCTGCCAATGCAGGGGACACGGGTTCCAGCCCTGGTCCGAGAAGATCCCACATGCCGCGGAGCAACTAAGCCCTTGCCCCACAACTACTGAGCCTGCGCTCTAGAGCCCACGAGGCACAACTACTGAAGCCCGTGCGCCTAGAGCCTGTGCTCCGCAACAAGCCCCCCACTAGCCACAACTGGAGAAAGCCCGTGTGCAGCAACGAAGACCCAACACAGCCAAAAATAAATAAATAAATGTTTTGGTTTTTTTTAAATGGAAGAGTTGGAAGGAAAAAAAAAAAGCACGGATGTAAAGTACAAAGAATATTCCTTAGGCCATCTCTCCAGGGCGTGGCTGTCAGGCCACTGAGACATTTTCACTTTTTGCCTGTCATTACTTAGAGCCTTCAAATGTGAGAGTTCTCCCCCATATCGGAAACCTTCTCCAGGAAACAGTTTCAAATCCACGTATATTGCTGTGAGTTGGTGATGTTTTCTATTATCATTAGGTTTGTGTTCTCAAAGCCTGCAAGGGTACCTGATTTCCCTTTTAATTCTAGCACTGCCTCATCATAGCTGCTTCATTGAACCACCTTTTAGAGTGAATCACTGATAGAAGATGGGAATAAAGCCTAGATCCGATCACTAACGCTTTGTAATTTTGAAGGTAGTTTATCAAAGTTATATAAATATCAGGAAATGCCCATTACCATTAGTTACTATAACAAAATTCCATACAGAACAAAGCAATGAAAAAATATAAACACCACAGGACAGCCGGGTACCATCTTAAACTTCAGAGATTTTCCGATCTTGTGTAAAGATGTGAAAAAAATTTTTTTGTTAAATCTTAACAGCTGACCCCACGATTCCTCTTTGGGAAGGGGAAGGAGGGAGCTGTCTCCTCGGGGGAAAGCCGCTGAGGGGCTTGTAGGGAGGGATGACACCTCGAGGGCTTGGATGCTGCAGGCACCTGGGCTCCAGAGGAGGAAAGCCTGCCGAGGCTGGAGATTAGAGGAAGACCTTGTTGCTTCTGCTCCTGCAAGGGGAGTGGAGGGGGAGCAGAGAGAGGGGAGGAGAGAGATAAGACCAGGAAAGAGAAGCCAGCCTGATGGAGAGAAGCTGAGACAGGGAAGGGGAGAGGGGCCAGGTTAGTGTTGGATAGTAACCCATCCATTCCTATCAAATTTATTCCCTATTACTGGGATTTAAACCCCGCCTTCCATCTCTCTAGTAAATTCTACTCAATTTACACATGGAAGCAGGGTCTCAAAAGTCTAGAAACCGGGGACTTTCCTGGTCGTCTAGTGGTTAGGACTCCACACTTCCACTGCCAGGGGCACGGGTTCGATATCCCTGGTCGGGGAACTAGGATTCCGCATGCCGTGTGGCACGGCCATAAGAAAAGGGGGGGGGGCAGGCAAGAATGGAAACAGGGGAAGAAGCTAGGAGAGATGCTGGTAGCTCAGACCAGCATGTTAGCGGTGGTATTGGTGAGGAGTGATCATATTCTGCATTGTGGTAGATTGGATGTGGCATGTGAAGAAAAGAGGAATAAAGGATGACTTCACTTTCTAATATTAGAAAGAAAAAAAAGAAGTCTAGAAACCTAGAGAGCCCTTCAGGACAATTCACAAAAACCGAGGGGGTGAGCTTTGGTCTTCCCAGGGCCTGGAATTGGGACCCCAGGGACCCCAGCTGATATCTTGTTTCTCGTCTGTTTTTGTTTTTCTTTTTTCTACCAAGTTAAGTATAAAAACAACTACCTTTTTGTCTCACACTCAGCGGAGGTTAGAAGTCCTCACTTTCTAGGTTCTGATCTGGCCAAGAATTTCAAAAAGCTTGCTATTCACAGCATTCAGCTAAACACAAGTAACAAAATCCTCTAATTGCCGGTTTACTGTTAATTGCTTTAGATAAGACCTTATCTTTTCCTGTGCTTTGCTAGCTCCAGCCTCTGCAGTTACCTTCTTGACCTCTTTCCAGGATAACCTGATTCTTAGTGTCTTGATAGTTTTGGGGGGTTTTTTTAGGCATATTTTACAAAACATTTAATTCACCCATTTCAAGTGTGCAATTCAATAACTTTTAGTGAAATTAGCAAGTTGTGTATCCATCAACATAAATCAGTTTTAAAACATTTCATTTTAAAACCCCAATAAGATCCCTTATGCCTATTTACTCTTTTTCTTTTTAACATCTTTATTGGAGTGTAATTGCTTTACATTGTTGTGTTAGTTTCTGCTGTATAACAAAGTGAATCAGCTATATGTATACATATATCCCCATATCCCCTCCCTCTTGCGTCTTCCTCCCACCCTCCCTATCCCACCCCTCTAGGTGGTCACAAAGCACCGAGCTGATCTCCCTGTGCTATGCAGCTGCTTCCCACTAGCTAGCTATTTTACGTTTGGTAGTGTATATATGTGCATGCCAC